GATTCGATTTCAAAATCAACATTTTTTGATGATTTTCCAAAATTTTGACCCAAATCGACAAAATGACAAGGGGTTACATCACCCTTTTTTTTTTTAAAATAGAGGTCGGTGCATAAATCGAAACTTTTCGATTATATTTTTTTAATATCTCGGGTAATAGCTCCGCGGGGAGATATGACGTTCCAAAACGACATAACTCCGCGCGGAGATATGACGTTGCAAATCATCACGTTTTTTTTTTTTCAAAATCAGGGTCGGTTCAAAAATCACAACTTTTTCGATGAATTTTATTGAATATCTCCTGTAAAAATTGTCTGATTTTGAAATGTTATACCTTTTTAAATTCGTACGGATCCCTACTATAAAATGGCATTCAAAGAAATTCAATATCGATGGGCTACAAAAAATGATTGACAAAAAACTGATTCGTTTTCAAAATCAACCTTTTTTGATGATTTTCCAAAATTTTGACCCAAATCGACAAAATGACAAGGGGTTACATCACGCTTTTTTTAAAATTCGAGGTCGGTGCATAAATCGAAACTTTTCGATGATTTTTTTTTTAATATCTCGGGTAATAGCTCCGCGGGGAGATATGACGTTCCAAAACGACATAACTCTGCGCAAGATATGACGTTCCAAAACGACATAACTCCGCGCGGAGATATGACGTTCCAATACGACATAACTCCGCGGGGAGATATGACGTTCCAAAACGACAAACCTCCGCGCGGAGATATGACGTTCCAAAACGACATAACTCCGCGCGGAGATATGACGTTCCAAAACGACATAATTCCGCGCGGAGATATGACGTTCCAAAACGACATACCTCCGCGCGGAGATATGACGTTCCAAATCATCACGTTTTTTTTTCAAAATCAGGGTCGGTTCAAAAATCAAAACTTTTTCGATGATTTTTATTGAATATCTCCCGTAAAAATCGTCTGATATTGAAATGTTATACCTTTTTAAATTCGTACAGATCCCTACTATAAAATGGCATTCAAAGAAATTCAATATCGATGGGCTACAAAAAATTATTGACCAAAAACTGATTCGTTTTCAAAATCAACTCCGCACGGAGATATGACGTTCCGAAACGACATAATTCCGCGCGGAGATATGACGTTCCAAAACGACATACCTCCGCGCGGAGATATGACGTTCCAAATCATCACGTTTTTTTTTCAAAATCAGGGTCGGTTCAAAAATCAAAACTTTTTCGATGATTTTTATTGAATATCTCCCGTAAATATCGTCTGAAATTCAATATCGATGGGCTACAAAAAATGATTGACAAAAAACTGATTCGTTTTCAAAATCAACCTTTTTTGATGATTTTCCAAAATTTTGACCCAAATCAACAAAATGACAAGGGGTCATTTCATCATCACTCTTTTTTTTTAAAATAGAGGTCGGTGCATAAATCGAAACTTTTCGATGATTTTTTTTTCAATATCTCGGGTAATAGCTCCGCGGGGAGATATGACGTTCCAAAACGACATAACTCCGCGCGGAGATATGACGTTCCAATACGACATAACTCCGCGGGGAGATATGACGTTCCAAAACGACATAACTCCGCACGGAGATATGACGTTCCAAAACGAAATAGCTCCGCGCGGAGATATGACGTTCCAAATCATCACGTTTTTTTTTCAAAATCAGGGTCGGTTCAAAAATCAAAACTTTTTCGATGATTTTTATTGAATATCTCCCGTAAAAATCGTCTGATATTGAAATGTTATACCTTTTTAAATTCGTACAGATCCCTACTATAAAATGGCATTCAAAGAAATTCAATATCGATGGGCTACAAAAAATTATTGACCAAAAACTGATTCGTTTTCAAAATCAACTCCGCACGGAGATATGACGTTCCGAAACGACATAATTCCGCGCGGAGATATGACGTTCCAAAACGACATAACTCCGCGCGGAGATATGACGTTCCAAAACGACATAATTCCGCGCGGAGATATGACGTTCCAAAACGACATACCTCCGCGCGGAGATATGACGTTCCAAAACGACATACCTCCGCGCGGAGATATGACGTTCCAAATCATCACGTTTTTTTTTTCAAAATCAGGGTCGGTTCAAAAATCAAAACTTTTTCGATGATTTTTATTGAATATCTCCCGTAAAAATTGTCTGATTTTGAAATGTTATACCTTTTTAAATTCGTACGGATCCCTACTATAAAATGGCATTCAAAGAAATTAAATATCAATGGGCTACAAAAAATGATTGACCAAAAACTGGTTCGTTTTCAAAATCAACCTAGTTTGTTGATTTTTTGGCATATCTCGGCTAAATAGTGTCAGATTTTGGAATTATATACCATTTTGAACTCGTGCGGAGATATGACGTTCCAAAACGACATAACTCCGCGCGGAGATATGACGTTCCAAAACGACAAAACTCCGCGGGGAGATATGACGTTCCAAATCATCACGTTTTTTTTTCGAAATCAGGGTCGATTCAAAAATCAAAACTTTATCGATGATTTTTATTGAATATCTCCCGTAAAAATCGTCTGACTTTGAAATGTTATACCTTTTTAAATTCGTACGGATCCCTACTATAAAATGGCATTAGGGATGCAATGTGTTCAAAGCTAGAACGCAAGAAAGAAGTTGTCTCAGTAAAATTTAAAATAAAATTAATTTAATTTAAGAAGTTGCATACTTTTAGCGTCGAAAGAATCTTAATTGCATATCGTCGAGTGAATTATTATTTATATAATTTTGGGACAAAGAATTTCAATATCGATGGGCTACAAAAAATGATTGACAAAAAACTGATTCGTTTTCAAAATCAACCTTTTTTGATGATTTTCCAAAATTTTGACCCAAATCGACAAAATGACAAGGGGTTACATCACGCTTTTTTTTAAAAATAGAGGTCGGTGCATAAATCGAAACTTTTCGATGATTTTTTTTTTAATATCTCGGGTAATAGCTCCGCGGGGAGATATGACGTTCCAAAACGACATAGCTCCGCGCGGAGATATGACGTTCCAAAACGACATAACTCCGCGCGGAGATATGACGTTCCAAATCATCACGTTTTTTTTTCAAAATCAGGGTCGGTTCAAAAATCAAAACTTTATCGATGATTTTTATTGAATATCTCCCGTAAAAATTATCTGATTTTGAAATGTTATACCTTTTTAAATTCGTACGGATCCCTACTATAGAATGGCATTAGGGATGCAATGTGTTCAAAGCTAGAACGCAAGAAAGAAGTTGTCTCAGTAAAATTTAAAATAAAATTAATTTAATTTAAGAAGTTGCATACTTTTAGCGTCGAAAGAATCTTAATTGCATATCGTCGAGTGAATTATTATTTATATAATTTTGGGACAAAACTACTTAGGCTAATGACTCTCAAGAGGAATCGGTCGAATTATGAGTTTTTGTATGACCGAATACTCACCAATTCACTCACAAGCTCACAAGTCTGTAAAATACAAGGGTATTAAATATTCGGCGTGCTAGAGATATCAATACGAATATTGATGTCGAACCATTTGCTAAACGATTGTCTTTGAATCCTGTAATTGATTCTAATTAATTTAATTATATTTATTGAGAATCTGTAGTATTCATCAACTATTATTGACAACATTAATTTCTCTTTAAGCCCTCCAATCTTGCCCCCGGCATTTTCCTTAAATATTTCAGCTCGTATTCTCCTAACTATTTTGACTTTGAGCATAAGCTATTCATGTGCCCTACAATTTTGCTGTTTGTTTGCATAAACAATATGAATAAAGATCAAATAAGCTAAGGCTAATGAAATCAGCCTTCAAATTTTATTATTTATGCCTGCTTAAGTTTCTTGTTTATCTAGCTATTAAACTAAATTCTAGTTTTTAAGGTTGCAAATGACAATTTCATAAACAAACTGCCGAATAAATTCGGTTAGGCAATAACTTCATCTGAACTGTAAGAAAATGTGGGTTGAGGGGCTTACATAAATACTTTTTGAAAATCTATTTAGAAAGCGAAAGAAGGAAAGAACATTAAGATATTACGTATAGTCTGAATTAACAGCTTACACTTATATAATATACATATATCATACAACACACACACACACATTAAACTTGAACTAATACAACCACACTTACTTATGCGAACCTTTGTTTATGTACATAAACATTTAAATCAGTCATAGTCAAGGCTGTTGCTATGGTGCGTGGGGACTTAGTAATCCAGTTTGCGGCGAAATTCATAAAAAAAAAACATATAAATGACCTAGTCGGGTATGCTCGACTAGGAGATGCCCATCAAGAATCTGCCATGATACACATACACATGCACACATAAAAGCTCACACACACATACATGCACTGTGTTTCTTCTTTCCATAGCTATGCTACCCTGATTAACTCGAATGCTTATTGTTCAATCTTTTGGAAATTTTCAGGGCTTAAATATGACATCAAAATGTGTGTAAATCCCAATACCCATGACTTTAGCTCCCAAAATACTTCCTTGCCATTTTATCCAGTGAAATATTCGATATGCTTCGTTTCAAAATTTCAAGTCTCTATACCAACAATAAGCTCGGGCTTATATATACGGGCAGCCGAACGGACGAACGGACAGACAGACGGACAAGACGGACAAGTCTATATCGAACCGGCTGTTGATGCTCAGCAATATATATTCACTTTATGGAATCGGAAAAGCTTTCTTCTGCCTGTAACATGCTTGTGCATAAAAACATAATGTTTAAACGATTTTCAACGGGTTCAGGGTGTAAAAATATTCACTGCTGACACACATGATAGTAAAAAACTAAAATTCAGGCTACAAATTATCATTACAATTGATAATTTATTTGCTCTGGATTTACTGATAGCACTTGGTACAATGAACCGCAGCCAAAGTGGAATATTGTCGCCTGACTGTTAACGTTATCAGCGGGGACAGCTTCGTCTGTGGCCGGCAGACCCACAGCAGATCTGGGTGTAAGACGAGAAGTAAAAATAAATATATTTAATACAGAATAAAGTTCAATGCTACCCAGACGAAGTGAATGTTGTGCTTTGTTTTTAATGGACAATAAATGTAAATGAAATTGTGGTTCCACAAATGCGACGTGGTGCGATATTGTGTACAGTTGGAATACTTTTTCGTCGAATAAATAAATGCAAATTGCGTAAATTCGCTGAAATGGCCAGTTGTGATCTGTCTTGAGACACGATCGCCATCAGCGGCGCGTCTCGTCGCCAAATTTGCCATTGAGCATGCTCTTCAGCTCCTCGGTGCCAGGCGCCCGCTGCTTCTTGCCGAAGTTCTCGCCATCCTCGATAGTCTCCGGCATCGGCTTGTTGAGCGTCTCGGGCAGCAGCAGCGACATCAGGCCGGCAGTCAGCGAGAGCGCACCGCAGATGACCAGTGGCAAGGGTCGCCAGATCTCGCCCAACAGATTGAGATAGGGCGCCAGAATGCCGCCCACGCGCGCCACCATCGAGGAGGCACCCAAGCCCACATTGCGCACCACAGTGGGAAACTGCTCGGCCGTAAAGATGTACACGGTGCCATAGGATGAAGTGATGGCCAGCTTGCCAATCATGGCGCAGGCAATGAGCAGCCAGTTCATATCGCTTGGCACAACAATGGTCAGCAGCAAGCTGATCCCGGCAACCAGCATGGCGCCACAGAGTATGGTGCGGCGACCCCATCTGTTCAGGGTAAAGAGCAGCAGCGTATAGCCTGGTATCTCCACGGCGCCAGAGATCACAAAGTTGACCAGCTGATTGCCGCCCAGGTTGTTCGTATTCCACGAGAGACCATAGTAGACGCCGCTATTGACGAACCAGTCGAAAAAGATGAGCAGCGTTTTTCGGCGCAGATTCGGATAGCGCAGCAGATCGAACACGGATGCCGAGGGCTCTGCGGCGGCTAGCTCATCCTTGCGCTTCTTTTCGGCTGCCTCCTCGACAAGCTGTTCGTAGATTTCGCTGGGTATCTGCACGCGGTTGACCTTGGCCGCCTTCTCAATGATCACAAAGGCCTCCTCCTTGCGTCCCTTGGAGAGCAGCCAGCGCGCAGACTCGGGCACGATCCAATAGTAGCACATGAACAGCAGACCGGGCAGCGTCAGCGCAATCTGCAGCCAGCGCCAGTCATGGATGAAGTAAGCGAAGCCCGCGGTCAGCATAAAGCCCACCGAGAAGAACATTTGCACGGCAACACCAGCGAACAGGCGATACGAGGCGCCCACCATTTCCATGGCTATCACATAGGCCACCAGGAACACGCCCGATGTGGTGGCGCCCACAATTAGCCGTGAGATGGTATAGGTGAAGTAGTCCGGTGCCACGGCCGCAACCACGCCAAAGATCAGCTGCGTAACCAGCGAGGCAAAGAAGGTGGGCTTGCGTCCCAGCTTGTCGGACATCTGGCCAAAGATGAAGCTGCCTAGCAGCACGCCCACCATGAACAGCGAGTCGCTGGTGGCGCTCAGCAGGCTGCGACTGCACACCATATCCCATTCGGTGACGGCGCTATTTAGATACTTGGACTGATCGTAGACATAGCTGCTGCACTGCAGCGTTCCATTCTGTGCGGCCGTGTGATTGCCATTTAGATACTGCTCGGTGTAGCTGACATTGTAATAGGCACAGGTGTCCGGCTTGCCGGTGATGCTGTCGTTGGGATATGCCAGCGGCCATTGTTGCCGCGGCAGGGTATCAAAGCGCGCCGTGTCTGGATCCTCATGCGGCAGCAGGCAACGAAACTCTGGCCGTGCGAGCAGAAACACGCCGGCCAGCTTGTGGAAGGCGCAGACGATGGCCGGCAGACAGAGCAGCAAGTAGATGCGCTTCTGATAGCGCCCAAATTCGCCCAGGTGCGCAATGACGTCGTCGTAGCCCATGATACCTGATAGCAGCTAATCGATGCTCGATACGGCGGAATACGATTGATTCAATAGCTCTTGCCCGATTGCTAATCACGGTGCACGCTGCTTGTTACGGTCGTATGATTTGGAGCACTTTGAACGCTTTCCCTCAAAACGTTAAAAGCTGTCGTCTTGCCCGAGCAGGGACGGAGGTGTTAAGGAGGCGAGGGGGGCGGCTCACAACTCGTATTTTGGGCGTTGAGTATACGCCGCGTGTTGCCGATATAAGTTCGTGTTGTCGGGCAATAAACAACACAATGAATTGGGCGCTACGAGCTCAGAATGTGCTCCTGATATTTTGGAAATACACATGCATTTCTATATGTATATATTTATAAGTATATATGTGTATTTGTGTGTCTTTTGTGCTGTTGCGCTTATCAAAGTTGAAACGCGCTCGAAACGAACCGCTCGCGATCTGTGCCAGTACGCGACTAAGAGGTCTATGCAGCTGTTGTTGAAGAACTCGACATCGACTTCGACTGACTATCAACCAGCTCCGAGCTGACGACGCTCTGGCTCTGGCAATGTGCATAGTTCCAATCACAGCCCAGGTATGCTATGCATATCTATGACATTCTCACAGGTAAGCCCGGTCTAGCTGCCCTTTTCACATCTAGTTTCTAGGCCAAATGGGGGTTGATTCAGATGAGGGCCAGATAATTGCTACGCATTGCAGCATTCGATCGGTTATCGTCTAAGGCAACCAGCGAGAAATGCAGTTGGCAATATTCCATACAGAATTGTATTTCTCACTCTCTCTCTCCCGCTCTCTCTCTGTCTCTCTGTTATCGCACGCGCTCAGCTCTCAGTATATATACATACACACATAATCTCTAGATTTGCAACTTTGTGCGAGCAGCCAAACATTTTGAGCTACAGCTAATATTTATGCAAATAAACACAAACTTGACCGAGTCCACAATCGTAGATGTACGGGGAGGGTATGTGGAGGGGATCGTAGGCAATGTAAATAAACAATTTACGACAATTCATTCGCATATACTATCATCTAAATTGTTGTTGTCAGCTGCCTTGGTTAATTTATAGAACTATATTTTTGCACTCAAGCCAATGAATCGCAGTGCATTGGCATTAAATAAATAAATTTAATTATTTCACAGTCTTCGAGTTGTCAGTTCGCGTTTTTTCTTTCTTTTGTACCTGTAGAAAATGCAGCTCGTAATAATTCTAATGTGTTGCCAATTAGCTAAAGAGTATATCAGTAGATGTCTCGAATCTTTTGAATAAATTAGAAAATAATTAGAAAAATAAATAATACTCTTAGCTAGCTCTGACAATGTTGCAAATAGAGTTCTTTACACTAGCAAAAGTTATTAAACGAGGCAAAACAGAGTATCTGGCAGTCGTTAAGTGCCGCCTGCGGTTGTGATGCTTCTTCAAAATTTAATTTACTTTTGGCCTGTAAATGTCACGTGTTTCTTCGTTTTTTTCCTGATAACAAGCACAAAAAAAAACTAAAATAAAGAAAAAACATAGCGACAATAAGTTTGAACATTTTTTAAAATTAGATTGAAACTGAGCAAATCGTTTCCGAGAAGTTGCATTTATTTGCTTTGGTATAGAAAAAATACAATATTTGATTTTGAACATAAGTACAATTGTCTAAAAATTCGTTTGCATTTAAGTAGCTCATAAGTACATATTTATATAACTATATATTAAATACATGCATAATACGCTGTTTTAGTGTGCAGGGGCCAGTTTGTTGGCTTGGAAGGAGTATTCTCTGATGTGATTTGCCCTGATGCTCAAATGGAAGACAGGTAGGGCAAAAATACAAAAAAAAACCCTTGTGACGCCGCCTCTGTGCCCTGCTAAATGCTTAAAGAGAAGAATTTTCTATGCGTGGTTTTCTTTTGTTTTCCATATTTTTTTTTTTTTTGGCATGCATATGAGATTTTTGAAATATAATACTTTGTCATTTATGGAACTAAATGTGTAGGAAAAATGTGCCAAGATTCGTCAGCTAGAAGATGAATGACCCCAGGCAGCGCTTGGGTTTAGTATAATTACCAAACTTAATTAGTTGTTACCTGGCAAAGCAGAGTTTATTGTTTGTTTTTCTTTTATTTCCGTTCGTTTGCCTTTTCCTAGAATTTGTGACCATTGCCATTCGCCTGGACAGAGTTGAGCGGCTGCGTCTCGAGCGTTTCGCGCAACTCTTTGCCCGTCTCCAGATACACATCCGCCGGCTGCTTCTTGCCGAAACGCTCGCCGTCGGCAATTGTCTCCAACGTGGGCCTGTTGTGCGTCTCGGGCAGCAGCAGCGACAGACAGCCGGCGGCCAGCGAGAGGGCACCATAGATTACGAGCGGCAATGGCGGCCAGAGGGTGGCCAACGCATTCAGATAGGGCGCCAGCATGCCCGTCAAGCGCGAGACCATGGAGGCAGCACCCATGCCCACGGTGCGCACCACCGTGGGGAACTGCTCACTGGAGAAGAGATAGATGGTGCCATAGGAGCCGGTTATGGCCAGCTTGCCCACCATGGCGCACGTCACAGTCAGCCAGTGCATGTCCTGCGGCACAATGATGGTCAGCAGGAGGCTGACGCCAGCAACCAGCATGCAGCCGCAGAGTATCGAACGGCGACCCCATCTGTTGAGCGTCAAGAGCAAAAAACAGTAGGCGGGTATTTCCACGGCGCCGGAGATCACAAAGTTGAGCAGCACATTGCCGCCCAGGTTGTTGGTGCTCCAGGAGAGACCATAGTAGACGCCGGTGCAGACCAGCCAATCGAAGAAGATGACCAGCGTCTTGCGTCGCAGATTCGGATAATGCAGCAGATCCCATACAGAGGGTGGCCTTGTCTCCTCACAGCCATCATCATCCTCATCCTGGTCCAGCTTCTGCTCCTGTTGGCAGCTGGCGCCTTCATCTAGCAACGCCTCCAACGCCTCTGTCGTTATGTCCACACGATTGAAACGCGCCGCCTTCTGTATGACCTGAATGGCATCCGCCTTGCGTCCCTTGGACAGCAGCCAGCGCACAGACTCGGGTATGATCCAATAGTAGCACATGAACAGCAGACCGGGCAGCGTCAGCCCAATCTGCAGCCAGCGCCAGTCATGGATGAAGTAGGCAAATGCGGCCGTCAGCATGTAACCAATGGAGAAGAACATCATCACAAAGATGCCAGCGTACAGACGCTTAGCGGGACCGACCATTTCCATGGCTATCACATAGGCCACCAGGAACACGCCGGATGTGGTGGAGCCCACAACGATGCGCGCCAGGGTATAGGTGAAGTATTCTGGCGCCACGCCAGCGACCACACCGAAGATCACCTGAATGACCAGCGAGGCAAAGAAGATGGGCTTGCGTCCGTACTTGTCGCTCAGCTGGCCAAAGATGATGCTGCCCAGCAGTACGCCCAGCATGAACATCGAGTCGCTGGTGGCCGCCAGGAAGCCGCGACCACAGACCAGATCGAACTCGGTGACGGCGCTGTTCTGGTACCTGGACTGGTCATAGATGTAGCGACTGCAGCTGTGCGTCTCATTGCTGGTCCTGTAGTAGCTGCCGTTGGCATATGCCAGCTCGTAGTAGGCGCAGCTGTCCGTGGCCGGATAGGCGAGCTCCTTCAGCTGCGCGGGCAGCTCATAGCTGGCCGATTCGTCCAGATCCGTGGGCAGGGCACAGCGGAAATCCGGCTTGGCGAGCAGAAAAACGCCGGCAAGCTTATGAAAGGCAACCGGTATGGATGTCAGACAGATCAGCGTATAGATGATCATCTGATACCGTCCGAAATCGCCCAGCTGCACGATAACCTCATCGTAGCCCATTCTCCGCTATGTTTGTTGTTCCGCTGTTCTGTTCCGCTTAACTCGACTGGCCGCTCCGGCAGCCCGTGAATCACTGAGGATTTCTATTTCTATTTGCTTTCTTCGAGTGCGTATCTCGTGACGATTTGCCGCTCAGCAATTAGCGTGCGAGCGCGTCGCCGATGACGTGTACCTTGTACTCTGGACGCGGACGCAGTCGGGCCAAAAGCTCAGCGAGAGCGCTCTGGCCAACAGGCAAAACAATTGGAACAAATGCTGGTCGCTGCGCGGCAATTATGGGCCACAACACGTGTTTCTCAAATATTTAAAGTGCTGAGGTGACGCAAACGAAATGCTGGCGATTAATTCGCAATTCCGCAGAAGAAACGAACGAACGGAAGAGAGCTAAGAAATTGAAGACCGAGGCGAAGCATTTGCCCGCACACCGAATGGGAACTAAGCTGCGCGATTGAAGGCCGGCCAAAGACTGAGGCAATAATGTTGCCGACGACGACCACGACGCGATACCTTCCGATAGACTGGCCCATATATCCAAAAGCGAACGAGTATCCATCATGCACATGCTCGACGCGACGCGACGCGGCGCTCTGTTTGTTTCGGAGAAATGTTTATCCAGCCCAAAGAGAGAGAGAGAGAGAGTGAGAGAGAGAAAGAGTGAGAGAGAGGGGGGCGAGTGGCAGAGGGAGAGCTACCCCAAAGCATTGTTGGTAATAAAGCCAGAGGGGTTTCGAACGGGTTTTCGCTTTAGGAACGGGCCAACTGAGCCAATATGACGCACCACTCGACTATATCACATGTCCATCATGCTCTTATTTATCTAGACAGACTGCAGCTATGGAGCTGCACAAATAGCATTTGTTGTTCCTGCAGATACATTATAATCGATGGCAAATATATAGGTATAAAGTTCTACGTTCACTTTTGCTGGCAGCCCTGGCTTAAATTCTTGCATGTCATTGACATCAATGCAAGCCAAGCCGCCATACAAGTCAGGTAAACACTTTTCGGACAATCTGTGTGTGTGTAGATACCCTGGAATTTGAATGCCAAGCCATATGACTATACTCAATATGAAAATCTGTCTAGATATCTTACATTCCGTTTACCAGCTGGCAACTTTTATCACATTAAATGTCTTGCCTTTGATTAAGAGGTATTTGGCAGTCGCCCAACTTTGGGTGATTGATTCTTTGTTGAAGCATTCTCAGACGTGCGCTCAAATAAATAATGCCAATGTTCTCGAATGGCTGCCAGTACAGGTTTCGACTTACGAAAGCAGTTAATATGCGGCCGGGTTCATTTAACTCAATATTTCAATTTGGAATTTGTCAATGGCAATTATCGATTTATGGCTAGCCAATTGAGTAGAAATATATATATATATTGAGAATCAGGCTGTACCAGCACCGAGCATCGTACGATATCTGCGATACCATAACCAAACAGTCTCAATTAGACTCAATTAGTCAGCAGAATAGGGCTCGGCAGTTCCAGAAAATACTGAAACTGCAATTCGATTCGATTCGGATTTGAGTAAAAGTCATAATATACCTTAAAGGTCAGATCAAAACTATAATTGAAAAAATCACAAAAAACACGAAATAACATGTTTGTATAATAACTTTGTACGATAAACCAATTATT